GCTGTGCTCAGCTGAAAGGAGATGCCAAGATCTACCGTCAACAAAACAAGCAAACCCTGAGACAGCTGGAAGAGGTGATCAGGGAGAGAGAAAAGGTGAGGAGCCTGAGAAGGAAAAGGGATAAGAACGGGAGGTGGGGCAGAATGTTGGTGGGTGTTAACTCTGGTCGGTTCTTCAGGCGCTGTCATCGCAGTCAGAGAAGCATGAGGAGGCACGGGTACTCCTGCAGGAGAAAGACCAGTACAGGGAGCAGGTCAGAAAGCTGACTGAGCAAATGGACAGGCTGGAGCTTCTGCTGCTGAGGTCACAGGGGGAGGAGCTACAGCTGAGGACACGCCTCCGCAGAATCACTTCCAACTCTCATCAGGTGAGGAGCAGCTGGAGGAGCTGGAGGAGGAGGGATTTTATGAAGCAGAAGTATTGATGAGGTAATAACACCGGCTTCTGTCCTCAGTGTGAAAGGAGTGTGAGCAGCGAGGAAGAGGAGGAGCCTCCAAAGAGCACTGCTAAAGGTCAGTCATGTCATGTGATGAGATGACACGGGTTAATGTGAGGTGATGTCACGTGCAGTGGTTTTGTGTGAACAGGCAGCAGTGAGGAGGTTCGCAGCGGGACGTCGGGGGAGAACGACGAGGCTCAGCGGCAGCAGAATGACTCTTCAGGAGAGCCTGGCTTCAAATCCAGTAATACTGTATCATGGGTAATTTCTACGTGCCTTATTCACACTGCTTATTTAACTCATGGTGTTTGGAAGAGACTTCAAAGCCTGTCTGTTCATCTACAGGAGGAGGAGCAAGCAGAAGTCTGTTTTAGAGGTCGTTCAAACTTTGTTTACCGCAGGTTAGTACTGGCTTTTTAAAACTTTATTTCTATACATCTGTACATGCATACAGTGTGAGTATGACTGTGTTCTTATTTCCAACAGGAAGCGAGCCCTCAGGTCAAAGCTCAACAGTACAGACTATATAGCCTGTAACCTCGACGACAGCAGCGACATCACCGACTCTGACTGATGTGACGCCATGAATGTATTTAACGTTAAATGCATGGCATATTTTTACCAACCTGCAGCTCAAAGTGCTCCACATGGCAACACCAAAACAACTCTAAGAAGCAGCATTTAAGTTTTACTTCAGACAAATTAAGACAACATATAGCTGTTTATCTTTAATACAAGAATTTCTAATAGGACTTAAAGAAAAGAAATGTAAACTTAATAGCAACAATACATCACAACTGTCAACCTAAAAACTGAAGGCCAGATTTACTGAAGGATGCAAGATTGTGTGATGCTGCATTTGCAAAAGTGCAGAGATGGGAGAGGAAATTCTGCATCTCACTTGTTAACATCGCTCATTTAAAAACTAGGTCCAGCCAGTTTATTTCAGTAATGAGAAATGAACCAAGAGCAGCACAACCTATTGAGTCAAAAGGAGCCGAACTGATGAACCTAATGAGGGTTTTGCGCTGCTGCAGACCGTTAGAAAATCTGGCCCTAAGGGGAGTTGACAGAGGAAGCAGTATTTAGAAATTTTGTAGCAGACGATTGGTCACGAGTAGACGTTCCAGCTTCAAGCTGCTTAGGTACGTCGCTGAGGTATTTACCACCCTTTCATTTGTGAATTAGCAGCATCTTTGGATTCACCGGCAGTCATTTAAAACGCTCAGCTTGAAGTTGAGAAAAGTTTAACTCAGACCCGCCCACTGCGCATCGCCAAAGGTTATTTCATCTTGACATAACTTAAATCCATTGACTTTCTATTATCCCTGGTGGTCATGTCACTTCTAGACACTTTTCTGGATTCCCCTTATAACTATAATATATGTATTAATATTTCACATTAAACACGGGAAATTTTCCTTTAAAATCATTGAGAGATCATAATTATGATATAACGAGGTGGGATATTCCACAGTTAAGGCGTATCAAAACAGAAGGTGCTTTCACCTGGTGTAGAAGATGGATGCACCTAATGAGACATCACTTCTAGGTTGGTGAAGCCTTCAACTGAGCATTTTGATGAAAAAACCCCCCACAAAAACAAATGCCACGTGCTCATTGGCTGACAACTTGTGATTTTCTTATTGATTTTTACACAACTGGAAGTCTTTTTGCAACCAGAGTAGTCGCCCCCTCCTGGCCATTAGAAATAATTCAGGCACTTTCATAAAGATTTGTCCAACTTTAACATACAGTCTATGGAATGGACACATTTATTGCTTTTCCCATAGTTGACAATTCCACAAGAAATGACTCTTACTGATGCTAAAAACTTTGTTCCTAACAAAATTGTTGTGTCCAAAGTTGAAACCACTGCTGCTGGTGACTATGGGAAGGGCAAATGCAGCTTACAGATTCGGTCTGCCATGATTTTCACCAAGTCAGAATTGGCTCTGCACTGGCACTGTTTCTGGTAGCACACTAGTTAAACTAGTGTCTATGATGTATGTAGTTATGTGATCAGTGAGAAGAGCGATGAGAAGATGCGGTATGTTGGGTTGATGCAGAGATGTAAAGTTGTACATCATATGGTTTCTAGTTATTTTAAATAATCTTTCCAAGTTAAAGCATGAAAGCTTTAACTTTACATGCCATTGCTCTCTGAGATACGATCCCAAAGACAAAAAGAACTCTCCGCCTGTTAAATAAGATTTCAACTCAGGAAAAGCACAGAAAGACCAGACCATGACCAAACAGTGGATCCAAATCTGCTCAGATTTCTAAAAATTGACAGAGCTTTCAGTTTCCAATTGAATCTGAAGTTGGCTAGAAGTTAATTTTTTCACTGTAACATTTCATGCTCTGAAATCAGGAAACTTGCAGTGTTTGTCGAAATGATTTGTTTTGTTCAATACAAAAAGTGCTACCTGGAAGCCGGAGAAAATCTCAGATTCGAGACGCTGATACTTCATTTAGACTTTGCTACATATTAATTGAATTGTTATTATAAATAATGAAGCGATGCTTAGTATACAGTATTTACTTTGTATAAGTAGGTTTGACATCAGCGGCTGTGAACCTGGAGGTTGTTGTTTTTGTTCTTGTTTCTTTCACTAGCTTTAGGGAGAGATCCTGGTTTAAAATATGATTTGAAATTGAAACTGGTCTCACTTTACTATTTTGATGAATGTTGCTGGAAACCAAAATCATTATGTCTGCAGAATGCAGTTAGCGCATCTTATCTGCTATGATTGAATACATAATGCAACATAAATGCTATAAAATTATAATTGATATCATTACCATTATTTTAAACACAAATTATTGACATTATAAAACCAATTAAAACTTTACTAATGGCTTTTAAAAATTCTTAATTAAAAATTACAATTAACTTTGAATAATTAGGTACTGAAGGTAAATTAAATAGGTATTATTTATTAACAATGTTTATTTTTCTTTTTTCTTGTCTGAATGTCACTTTCCATGGCATTCAAACACCCCAATAACCCATATTTTTTATTGATGACTTTTGTTGCAGTGTACATAATCTGATTTTTCTTCTTTACTTCTGTCTATATGTAATTTACAGTGTGGCTTGTCTTTATTATGAACATGATAAAAGTTTCAAATAATGACAGTGATGTGTAGAAGTAATGCCTGCGAGCCAAAGTTCTGGATTATGTTTTCAGCTTCCTTTTTTCTTTTTCTTTTTTTGGCTTCCATCACAAACTAATGTCAGCTTGTCACAAATTTATTTATATAGTCACCTGCAGCAGGTACAGAATGCCTACAAACTACAGACAGTACAGATCATCAGCACAGGCGCTGCTCTTCAGGAGGCCTCCAGAAGCCGTTGAAACAGGGAGGCTCAGTCTTTTTGAGAAGGAAGAACTTAAATAAAATTAAACAAAAAAACGATGATCTTGTAGTGGAAACCCAGAATAAAAACACTGAGCCAAGCATGAGCAGAACAGGCAACCAAAATAATCTGATTTCATTTTTGCGAAGTTTGATTTAAGAACTTTGTTAAAATTCATTTTACTGTGGGATTTAAAGAATTTATAAATTGAGCTTGATGTCATAAAACATTTTTCAAAACTCTCAGTTTCTTGTTATTCCTATTTAATTTCTTAAAAGTTTGATTTTTGTATGAAGTGTTGTGGATGTTAAATTATTAGAATCAGGATAAAACTTTGGTTTGTTTTGCCCAGAAGAACATATTGGATTTTTGTCTTTTTTCAGTATTTAATCAATCAAAAAGATTTATTTTTCTATTTAATTAGCAGCAAATGTTCAATAAAGCACAGTTAATCACTGAGGGAGAGAATATGATCAGCTCTTGCACTGATTTTTCAGTTTTCTTCTATCGCTGATGAATTTTCAGATTTTGACAGGTGATCCAATATTTTCTTCAGAGCTCCTGATCTCTCCTGATAGAGTGACTCTCCTCCACCTCAGGATATCTGACAGTAAGGCTCCTGCTCCGCTTTAAAGCTCCTAATTTTAACAGGAGTCTGTATGACTCGCTTCTGGAGCCAGCCTCAAGAGGTCATCGGAGGTGTTTTCTTCACAATTCCATGGAGAGGTGGTGTGGAGGGTCAGAGGATCTTTTGTTTTTCACTCTCTGGCTTTGGAGACTAGCAAAGTTTACTCTCCAGCTTTTTATGTTCACTTTCAGCTACATTTTGGAACAGTAATAACTACAGCATGTAGTATTTCAGCTACAGTAGGTATGCTTTCTAGCAATTTTCAAATAATTTACATAAATGTGAAAAAAAAATGAAATACAGAACTGATGAGTGACACAGTCTGAAGAAAAGGTCAACTGGAGCTGAGCTCTTTGAGGAACCTCAGACTGGATGTTAGGACTTTATTGTTTTACTGCAGTTTGAGGAACCATCTCGATACATGGACGAGGTCTCGGTGCTTCCGTTTATGACAATGTTTATTTAAAGGGACGCTTGGCCCAAATAACGAAAGCTGTGTATTTCTCGGTCTATCGCTTTGGTTGTCCATACTTGTTTTAGGTGCTTCGGTGCTACTTGCGTTTTATCTTGTTTTTACTCCTTCACACCAGGAAAGTGGTAAAAATGTAAGAAAAGTTTGATTTCTTGGAACTGCAAACAGAATGCACATTTTTCCCGTTGACCCTGAACGCCACACAGCTTTCGTCCAAGTTACATTGTCATGGTGACGGGAAAAACGCTCAGCCCGAGCAGGTACATGGTTTAGTGTGTGTGACAACAGAAAGAAAGGTTATTAAACAGTGTTTCTGTCAGCCTGGACTGAAGATTGCAGAAAGCCTCATCGTCATGTGTGAGAGCACCGCGGTTCCGAGCGGGGAAGTTTACCGGCAGCTGTTCGACGCTCAGGTGGGTTTGAGGTCACACTTTATCTGAACGCCGCGAGAGATTTCATTTTCATTTATTTATTTATAAAGCACATTTTAAAACAACAGGGAGTTGACCAAAGTGCTGTACAAAATAACAATTAAACAATGACATTAACAACAACAACAGGTAAGAAAATTAAAAGAAAATTAGGATAAAATAATTGGTAACTCTCATACAGTTTCGAAAGCCAGAGTAAAAAAAAAAATGTTTTAAGATGCGATTTAAAAAGAGTAACAGTTGGGGCCTTTCTAATGTGGAGAGGTAGATCATCCCACATTTTCGGTGCCACAATCGGTGCCCGATCTCCTCTATGAACCATCCTAGACTTATGTAAGGTAAGGAGCAGGTGATGGCTTGATCGAAGGGCACTAGAGGGCGTATAAAGCTGCAATAGGTCAGACAAAAAGTCCGGTGCCTGGCCATTTAGCACTTTATAAGTCGAAAGTAAGATTTTGAATTTAATTCTAAAACGTACTGGAAGCCAATGAAGGGAAGCAAGCACCGGAGTAATATGTTGGTGTTTCTTCACACGAGTCAAAAGGCGAGCTGCAGCATTCTGTACAAGTTGGAGCCGGGCCAAGCTGGACTGACTGACACCCACATATGGTGAATTGCAGTAATCTAGTTGAGATAAAACAAACGCATGAATTGCTCGTTCCAAGTTTCTAAAGGATAAAAAAGATCTCACTTTGGATAGGAGCCTTAATTTAAAAAAAGGACCGCTGGACAGCTGAATTAATTTGTTTCTTGAATGTAAGTTTGCTATCCAAGAATATGTTAGCACATGTTAGGTTACATAATTCCAAATCTGGGGCATTGAAATTACAGCTTGGTCCAAAAACAATTACCTCAGTTTTATCCTCGTTGAAGGTAAGAAAATTTGAGGCCATCCAGGTTTTCTTTCTTCATCATATCTTTATTTACTTTTTCCTTTATACAAAAAAACAAACAAACAAAAAAAGACAACAAAAGACAAAAACAATTACCACAACAACAACAGAGAGAAAAAAACAAAACAAAACAAAAAAACAAACACAATAAGCAGTCTGAGACATGTAAACGAAAAACTAATACAATTCGGTCTACCAGTCATTTACACATTTGTCCTGACAAACTCAACCCGCCATTGGAGTGGGGCTGCCCCTCTCACTATGGTTTTCTTCAGATCATCAGGTAAGTAATCCAATAGCGGGCGCCATATATCCAAAAAAATATCTCAATGGCAACTAAATTTGCACTCAGTCTTTCCATTGGTAAAACTCTAAAGATTTCTTTATACCACTGAGTTATTGTTGGTGGTTTTTCATTAATCCAATTGAAAAGAATACATTTTCTTGCCAAAAACAATAATTTACATAATAGTATATATTTGTTTTTATCTGGAAATTTGTTCAGAATTGGCATAAACTTAAAAGATTAAAACTAATAAAAAAATGTAAAAAGAGACTTTTTCCATTTGATTATATTTTACATGATGGATTATGCAGAAAGTAGAATAGGGCTGAAAGATCTATTGCTTTATCACCTATTCAGGTTGTAAATCATGTTTTTAAAAAGTAAGTAGTAACTAAGTAACTAATTACTTTTGAAAATAAGTAATCACTGAAGTAATGGGATTACTTTTTTGGGGGGGGAAGTAATCAGTAATTAGTTACTGATTACTTTTTTCAAAGTAACTTGACCAACACTGGTGAATGATGCTGCAGAGCTCCAGCTGCATGCCTGAACCAGATATGGAGGGAAGATTGAACTCACTCTTCCCTCCATATCTGGTTAAGTTTTACATTTTAAATATTATACATAAACTTGAAAAAGAAATTCTCATTAGCACAGAGCATTTGGGAGTCCAAGAAGTACACATTTACAGCTATAGCAACACTAAACCATAAGGCTTGTTGCCGTTGCACATTGCACTTTGTTGATGATAAAATTTGGGCTGTGGTGTTGGTTTGTTTTTGTCTCTCTGTGTACGGACAGACTGCAAATCAATTTCCCATTGGGGACAATAAAATTACCATTGACCATTGATAAAAGCCCCATGAACTGTAGACTGCAAAAAGAAAAGATATGAACATAACGATTGAAGTGTGCTGCATGCATGCATTGATTTGATGAGGGTTAACCATGTTTTAGAAAAAACTGACACTTTCATACTTTGAATCATGGAGCAGAGGTAAACAAACCTTACTGACTCCTTCCCAGTAAGAAATCACAAACAGAGGCCTCAAGCAGTGGGATTTGATGCTGCAGTAGGAGCACTGTGAGCGCAGGAGGTGTGTACAGTCTGACTGTGCACACGTCCTCCTGTGTTCATACAGAACCACTTCACTGTTTCCTTCCTTCTTCCTTGAAGAGTAAAACTGACAACCTGGGCTCACTGATCAGCAGAACTCAAGATGTCTGACGAGGGCTGACATATTCTGTTGCAGCAGTGACTGAGCTGTTTCTTGTTCTCATGTGTTTCAGGCTCAGCTGTCCAGATCTCTTCTAGCCGGACGCAGAGACACCGGGACAAATTGTCTGTCTGCTGTGGACAGCAACACACACTGCAGCACAGCCAGCAGGTGGACAGAGACACACACCACTGTTACATATCTGTACTGCATCCACTCTCTCAAAACATGTTTTGTTTTTTCCTTTAGTAGAAGGCAGCAGGCGGAACACAATGATGATGATGATGATGTCATAGATGATGTTGGCAGACTTCCAGATGCCGTGGGTTAGTAGTGCTTTTACTTCTACAACAGACATGCAATACAACAGGGTCGTAGCTAAAGTGGGTCTGGGGTGCCACTCGCCCAAAACTGTGCTGTCAAGTCATGTGCATTCATGGCTACATACAGGGTGGACAATGGATAGGTTTACTTGTGTTCACTTGTTGTTTTTACCTTTTTTAGAATGCATGGCGTCTCATTGCCCACCATTCCTTAACACAACCAAAGCTGAGCCCCCAGCAGGCCCAGGTTACTATTCACAGAGGGCAAAGCAATTTTTTGTAACATTTAAAAAAGCTTTTTACTACTATAAAGCTGGGATTTAATTGTTTTTGGACAGGAAGAGAGACTACAGAGTGGGGTTTTTGGCACTTGCTTGTTTCATTTTTCAGACCTGAATGTTTGCAGCTAGATCAGCTAATCTAACAGAAACATTAAGTTAAAATGTCAATGTTCACATCACAGTCAGAAGCTTCTCTCTTTATTTTAGTTGTTGATCATCCCAGCTCTGACATCATTGAACGTCTGACAGAGAAAAAAATTCAAAAACATCAAGAGGCTCTCAAACAGCTGGATTCAGACCTGAGCCAGCTGTCTCAGGTACAATGCATCGTAGTTACACTGCACCTGAGGGCAATACATGCTGTGGTGTCACAATACATACTCTGTGTGAAATTATTGGCCACTGTCTGTCATTGTGTCAGGTGTGTGAGACTCAGGTGAAGGCCATCAGTCAGGAGCTATTGTCCAGTCTGCAGGAGGTGGATCTCAGATTGGACACCCTGAAAGTCAGAATGAATCAGCTGGAAGATCTGGAAGATGTCAGTATGCAGGTACACATGACATAAAGTTTAGAAGATCAAATACAGTTTTAAACCCGCAGCCTGATGAAGCTTGTGATTTTTTTTAAAAATCCCCAAACCTTCAGAATAATTAGACTTGGTGTGGTTGGTGGAGTGTGAAAATAATATCTTATGAGCTGGAGAAATGTGATTGGTTTTGAGAGTGTTAATTTCATGTGTGTGCAGGAGATCCACGGTCTTTGGAAGGAGGTAGAGGAAGACGTGAAGCTGAAGAAGTCCACTATCGTAGAACTTAACCTCAAACTGACTGAAACTGAAAAACAACGTACTGACCAGGTCAGACTGAGCGTCACTGACACTTTAAAAATTTTACCCAAAGAAACCATTTGACACCCACAGTCAGTGGTTGAACAATAGAGGGCAGTACTGTACAGTTGTGGTCAGAAGTATACTTAAAATCTTCATAATACATTTCTTTAAACTATTTTTTTCCTATGGTGGAATTACTATAAAACAGCTTTGATGTCTTAAAAACAGAAATTGGGTCCACAAGTTTAAATTTGTTTTGGATTTTAACTAATCCTAACATTGACACAAGTATGGATACAAGCTTAAATATATACATAGACTCACTTACGTCTTTTAATAAGTGCTGCTGAAGGTTCTACATTTACAGCCTTGTAAAGAAGTGGTTGATCTATGAATTGTACATTTACACAAGTTGGGAAGGTCTCTTGGAGTCATTGGAGCACATATTAAGATGATCAGTTCAAACAATTGTTCAGATGTATCACGACTTTAACAAGGTCTGGAAGAAGACCCAAACTATCACCCTGAGACAAGAGGAAAATGATTTAAAACCGGGTTTTACATCTTCATGGAATAATAGAGTGCTGATCACGAAAGAAGGCCCTGCTCTTTAACAGACGCTTTTAATCTTGGCTGAAATTTGCAGCTGCTCATGTGGAGGAGCCAAATGTCCCCAAGAGAAAGGTTTTATGGTCAGAGACAAAGATTGAACTATTTGGCCACGATGGCATGATGAGTAGTAGAAGTGAGGCTTTCAATCCTAAGAACACTTTATCAGCTGTCATTGATGGTGGTGGTAGTTTCAATCAATCAATCAAAGCTTTATTTGTCACAAGCAGGTTGCCCTGCAGTGAAATGGGACCCCCCCCCCCCCCCCGACCTTACACACATAACACAGACATCACATGGGGTTACAAGTCGGAGATCGGTAGAGTTGCAGAAAAACACTGAAATGTACACAACAACGGGAAGGTACAAGAGGAAAAAAAGAGACCTCCACTCATGCTGTGCTTCCATGGCAGGACAGCACGAGTACAGCAAACAAAAAAAAACTCTTCTGCACAAAAAAAAAAAAAAAAAATTGATTCTCTGGGGCTGGTTTGCCCTCGGTGGTACTGGTACACAAAGTGGATAGAATAATAGAACAGCCAGTACGTATACTGCTGAGCAGCTGTGGAGAAAAACCAAACCAAAATTCAAACTTGTGCACCACTTCCTGTTTGTTTAAGACATTAAAGATGTACATGCTGTATAATCATTCTGGAAAAAGAGCAGTTCAGTCAATGTGTTTTTCTTTTTCTCATAGATCAGAGCTATTATCAGGAAGTACTACCGTGTGTTGGAGCAGATCAGTTTCCTGCATCCATCTGACATCCACAGGCTGATCCACACTGAAGCTACAGTAAGTCACTGTGACCTCTCATCTGACCTCTAACCTACCTAAAATGATAAATTGCACTTCTATATCTCTGTTTGTCTCAGATGCTGAATCAGTCTCTGCTAGCAAACCGTCGCAGCATTGCCCGACTGCTGCTGCTCCTCCAGGAGGAAAATCTACATAAGGAGTCGATCCTTCGTCGGCACTGGGAGGACTGTCTGAGTCACTGGAGAAGGAAAAGGGTCCACAGAATTGTAGATCAGTTCAGGTGAGTGGAGCACCATGTTATACATTGATGTGAGTTAAAGAAGCCAGAAGCTTAAAAGATTCAGGATTAGCTTGTTCAACACTCTAATCCACTTTGTTCATTTTCCCAAAGTCAGAAGAGAATTAGATTGGAATTGCTGAATTTGGTAATCCAAAATAACTCCTCTTATGACTCTAGAGGTCATTAACTACAGAATATATCAATAATGGCAGGGCACGAAGATTCTCCTCAGCAAAGCAAGAATTCCTGTTAGGGGAGGACTGGGATTTAGACTACAGGCATTGTCACCAAAGCAACGAAAATAAAAAAGAAGGGGTGGCAAAAAGTGGCTGACAATATTAAATTGAACTTATTATAAATACAGGGCAGTCTGGGTAATCAGATACCAGAACATTTTCCGTAATTTCATCATGAAGAAAACTGAGAGACTGTGAGACATTTCAGGGTTAAATGTTTAAATAACTATCTTTACACTATCATCCATTCCATCCATTCATCCATCCATCCATTATATCCAGAGATATCATTTCTCCAGCGTGTCCTGAGTCTGCCCTGCAGCCTCTTTACAGTGGAATGTGCCCAGATCACTTCACCCATGTAGATTGGTTGGGCAAACTCCCACATAGCTCCTTAAGATGATAAAGAGTTGGTTGTATGTTCTGGGTCCACGATGAAAACCACATTGTTCCTCCTGTATCAGAGAATTGACGAATGAATGAACTTTCCTTTCCAGTGCCCTGGCATAGACCTTTCTAGAGAGGCTGATGAGTATTATCCCCCCGTAGTTAGAGGACACCCTCCAGTCCCCCTTCTCAAAGATGGGAATCACAACCACAGTCTGCCGATCCATAGGCATGGCCCCAGATCTCCACGCAATGTTGCAGGTGCATGTCAACCAAGACAGCCCTACAACATCCAAAGCCTTTAAGAACTAAAGGTGAACCTCACCACCGGACACTCTTCTTACAGCTCTGTCTGGAGGCCTGGCTACAGGGTTGGGCAACCCTACATGGTACACTGGTACCTTGATTTTCTTCTGTCCATAGGTGTTGACTGAATCACTCTTTATTTGGCCACTCACCAAGGACCAATTTGCCTAACATTTGTCTAACAAGGACACTATCTCAAACTGACATTGAGGTAATGTCTGCAGCTTTAATTTTTTAACTCCCAGACCCTGGACAAGTTGGAGGGCTTTTATTTCCTAATATTTTTCTATATTTGTGGTCAGTTTCAGAACTGCTGTGACAGTCAGTCCTACAACTGAAAGATCAGGCATCACTCCAAATTGTATACCATGGTAAGTTTTTGAACTGGCTGATAATCAGTAGTATTTGTGTCGTAGAGGTCTCTGCAGCAGGAATGAGGATCAGCAGCTGGCCTCAGTTCAGCAGATAAAACTAACCCAGCAAGATCTGACTGAACGGCGCCGTGACATCATTAACAAGATCAGGTAAGATCAGGTGAAAATAAACAAACATAAATCATAATCTTTTCATTGCCTGGAGATCCAGTCAGTCCAGTTTCAGTGTAATTTCTTTTGTTTTCACCCCTTGTTGTTCTTGTCAAGTCACATATTCTCTTTGTGTTTCAGCTCTCTGGTCCCACCCACCTGCTCCAAAGCTTTGGTGTCTGATTGGTTTGACCAACTAACAGATGTCAATCAGCAAACTGGTAACTGTCCTCTGGAGTCACTACTACTGATACAGTATGAGTTTCACTTTACAAACTTAAATCACTATTTGAACAGCAGAAAACATCACTGTATCACCTTCATGAAGCAGCTATGTTACCAAGTCATCCAAATCATCTGTTATCCTGCTTGTGGTAAATTGGCAGAAGCACAAGTCTGAGTTATACTATGGTGATGATAAATGTAGGTTTGTATTTGTGTGTTCAGAGCATTTCCACACTGAGCTTCTCCATCAGCTGCGTTGCTGCTTTGAACAGACATGGCAGAATCGGCTGGCGGAGGTGGAGCGCTGTAAGGTAAATGCGCTTGGTTAGCTCTGATGTAGCAGCTTTCAAATACCTTTAGTTAATAGCTGACTGCTGTCTGCAGCTACATCATCGTAGCAATGATTACATTCCAGCATACAGGCCTGTAATTTTAACCTGTCATCCTACAGGAAGTGCTCTCATCTTTGGAATTGTCAGAAGAGGAAGTGAATGACATCATCAACTCACAGCTTCTCACAGTGATTGGAGCACAGCAGAGTCAGGATGAAGAGCAGCTGGCCGCTTTAGATGTCAGTCACGTAAACCTGCCTCAGACTATTTCTGTGCACTGTATCAGAGCATCTACGCGTTCATGCTTTCTGCTTGTCTGTCTGCAGGTGAGCAGTGACTCTGTGGCCCGTCATGCTTTCAGTCTAAGTAGGAGTGTATTTGTTGTCATGCGAGCAGCAGCATTGCTGTGGGAGACACATTGCCAAAGATTAGAGAGGAGAGATGAAAAACTACAACAAGACCTGAATGATCTCAGATGCTCACAGCAGCAGCACTTACAAGTGAGTTGCAATAAAACACAAGCAGGTAAGTCAAATAAAAACAACAAACACAATCAAGTAGTAAAAAAAAAGAATGCTTGGACACTGCTAGCATAATGGACAGGTTTTCGACGGGGCTCCCACACAAACGCAAAGCAGGAGATGAGGCATCGCTAAATATGTTTCTAAACCAACTTCCTTCCAAGCCAAAGACTAGAAAATATGGTGAAGCATATCTTCCCTTTGGCTTCACCTGCACAAGTGCCAAGGTAGGTCTCCCCTGCAGAATTGGTTTTCCCTGTGTCAGGAGCAGGCGCCGGACTCTCCAAATCACAGACAAACAGTATCCCACATTCTTGATTTTTAGTTCACAAACTTGTGATAACTAACTACTCCTGACATTTTGGACATGTTAGCTCTTTATACAGTAAAGTTACAGTGGGATACAAATAATATCAGGCTGATCCTGCCATAATTTACTCCCCCTGTCCAAATTACGGACAAACAGTATCCCACAGTTGTTTATGGTTTTGAACCCATTTTGCACAGAGAGGCATTTTTTGAAAAATGTTTTGATAGCAATGTTGAATATTATTACCCAGGAAAAAAACAACTACACGTAAAATAATCACACCGTGACGCCTCTGCCTTTCTAAATGGAGGGACAGTAACTGTGTGTGTATATGTAAGAGTGTAAAACCTGAAGATAGTAAGATTTACAGTATTTTCTCTCTATCTGCCATTCTGCAATTCATCTCATGTAAACAAAAAAAGTAAGTAAAAAAAGTTTGGGAATATAAGAATTTATTTGATGATCAGAAACGTGTAATTGTCACAAATATGAAGAAAAAAACCTCTAAGAAATCAGGAAGCGGGCAAAGTTTTTAATAGCACCTTAAAGGATTTATGTTAACAAATTACATACAGGTAAGTCACCGTCACAGGTCGACGTGGTCTTCACACTTTTGCCCGAGAGAGAGCACGACAGGTTCCCTTTTCCAACATGCTTGCTCTTATTCTATCAGAAATGGAAGATGCAAATGGATGACCTGTTAGGAGGACTCCGTCAAGAGAGCAGTGAGGATGCTCTGAAGACATCTCTGGACAAAACTATCGGTTACTTGCAGCAGATTAAGCACAGGTACTACAGGGTGCCAGCTAAAGCTAATCCCAAAGCAAAATCCAAATAAAAGTTAATTTTCTCTCCAATTTATTACAAATATTGAAATTCACAACATCCCCACCCAGTTTGTTAACATTTTGCCTTGGACCATAGCAGGGAAGCAATGTCTGTACAGTTCCCCAGGGAACAATCAATCACATCATGAAAACGCAAAGCTTAGCTGACCAACTCTGATTATTTAACATGATCATTTGTCTGATTGGCCGGAGGCGAACACAGCCACAACTTTAACTGTAAAAAGGACAGAGGTTGTGTGGGCAGGAAGAAAGGTGAATTTGAATAAAAGGTCCTAATTTTCAGTGTGTGTGTGTGTGTGTGTGTGTGTGTGTGTGTATGTGTGTGTGTGTGTGTGTGTGTGTGTGCAGTTGCAATCAATTTGTCATTGATCAATGGACCCTGTTGAATCTTCACCCGTCGTGCTGTTTGGAGGA